TCTGCTTTTATTCCTAATTATTCTAGACTCATTAGCTGACTTCAATATAAATGGTGTATTTGTTATTTTTGTGTGATTAACCGTCACGCCTTATAACTTTATGGCAATTGCTCGATCCTGCGATAACGATTTACCAACTCTTTTACCTTTACGATCAGAAGCTTGATACTAGAACATCCCAGTCAGCATTAGAAGGCGCTAACCGTGTGCAACAAATTCGATAAACTTCATCTCATTTGAGTCTTCTGTTTTGGTTCTGTAGACGGAAGAAACTTCCACAAAATTGGATTCAGGATCATCGGGTTGGTCAACCTTGTGTGTATCACGAGCCAGTTGGCAAGCTGTGGTTCTTCCTACAAATGTCGCTGGCAAAACATTGAAAGAAAAGGAGATCTTTCTGAGGCCTGATAGTGCGCAGTCTGAAATCGTGTCCAATCGGTCTGCTCGATCAGTCTCCACATCTCCAAACTTCAACAGTAACTTTGCTGCTGCTCCTGCTGGCGCTCTTCCTGCCAACGTCTCTTCGCCCATTTCGCCGATGAGACAGAATGCAAGTATGGGAGGAGCAGAATTACTAAATCTCCTTCCTGGGCTCTATGAACTTCAGATTATGTCGGTTTCTCTTGCTGGCAATAGTTCTTGGACTCCCCCTATGATTTTTGAGGTCGCTGCTTCACCTATGGGTGAGATTTAATCACTTATTGTTGTTATAATATATCATCAGCTAATTCTGGAATATGCTGCCGTTTTTACAACAGAATACGGTTAGAGCACTTAGATATAATCTGACAAAACTAATCTCGTAGTCATTTCGGATCAAATTATTCCGCATAAGATTCAATTTATTCACCGGAATATTACTTGGTGAAATCGTGATTGGCTAGAATGGGGTTAAACTGGCCATTGGACTTCATTTCTACGTATGATGGAGTGCGATTTGTCCTTTCATATCAATGCTCAAAAAAATTTACCACGCGAAAATTTGCGTTTGGTGTTTTGAACAAGGAAGTTGTGTTTCAGACTATTTTCAATAAGACTTAGGGTGGTTTGTTGTGCATTTAGTTTATTTTCAATTTGATTCTTCAAATCTTCGTTTTAGAGTTTATAACACAACTTCCAGACTTAGAAGTCATCAGTTCGTTGGTTGGTTCCTGTAATGATCAATATATTGATGATGATTAAGTTATCTCATTGGATTCTTTTCAGTTTTGTTGATGTTCACAAATATGTAAAATGACCTTTATACCACGGTAACGCTTAACACTAACAACTTTGTAAAATCTGTGTGATAAGGTTTTAATTCAAGAAGGGGTAGAATAGGGATCTGATTTAGTGATATATGAAATCCAAAATAAGGTTAAGATCAGTACATCGGATTATACTTTGATTAATCTTTGTCGCTTTTATTGAACGAAAACAGCTACCATAGCGGAGGTAGATAATTTTCCCCACTAGTCTTGTTGCCGTCCTGATTCTACCCTTGGCTGCACTTATAGGTCATTGTTGAAGCGAAATTTATCCGGATTCAGCACCTAAATCTCTTCGTCACTCTTATTATATTCACATCTTTGAAAGTTTGGGGAAATTTATATCAAATGGCAGGGGCTTTGATAGTTATCATTAGCCCTTTAGTTGACTGCAGACTTCACAGAGGGGAAGGAACATCAAAGTGAAGACAAGGTGAAAGGAGAGAGGGAACAGAAGAATGATTAACAGATGCAAAAGAGGCAGACAGGCTCAAAGGTAGTAAAAAAGGTAGGATGAGTACTGTGGAAGTAGTGGAATATGACATACAATAGGGTGATGGTAGTTTGAAGTGAGAAGTCAACTGCCGGTGTATAGACTTTTTTGCCGTATGAGTATACGTTGCCCAGGGTGCACCACGTGGAGGTAAGTCTATCGCGCACCCCGCTTAATCGAATATTTCCTATGACTTTAGTAGACTTGATGAAACCGCTGTCACCAGTTTCTTCATTTACCGCTCTTCCGTGCTCTTATTAAGGTCTCACTGCTGTATAAGTGGAGCGCGTGTAACCAATTGCTCTATTAACTCTCAGACAATATTTATTTAGGGTCTGTAAGGGTAGTTGGAATCAGTGCCAATAGTGGTGATAGGTAATGAATACCAATTCTCATTGAGATACGACAATCAGGTTATCCATTTCTTATTGAGTTCATTTAATTGTGTTCTAATGCTCCGATTTTCGAGTTTCAGGTTATGATCCCTAAGATCCTGCCTGAGTTTACGTTCGTGGCATTTTGAGTTTGTTGACCCATCCATTGAATTCGTCGTTTGGTTGTAAATATATAAATAAGCAGTTGTAGATTTAACCATCTCCGCATTTGGATATAAGCCGGGTTACTAACCCTGATAGAGTACTTTTAAGAGTTTGGATAAAATCATGAAACTACAGTAGTTAAGCTGTGGGCAGAATAATTTCTTTTTAATACGTATTTTTGCCCTTATTTCAGCTCAGTTAACAAACACTTACAGAAGATTGGCTCTGCCAGATGATGAAATCCACGTCGTTTTCATGGCCTTGACTCCTATACCCTCGGGATCTGCTGATGAATCCTCGACCGATTGTGAATCCGGCCTGGGAATTCGACTAGTTGGTCATAGAGACACTAATTTACGTGGTGTTTTCATCTGTAGTCTTCGCGAGGGTTCACTAGCTGATCGTACCCCGGGTCTACAAGTTACTGATGAAATCGTGCAGGTACTTTCTGTTCCTCATTTAAGAACGTATTAATTTTCCTAGGTTTTGCTTGACTGTTTTCCTATTTGTTTCCAGGTGAATAATATCTGTGTAATGGGACTAACTCACGTCTCTGCGAAATTGCTTATCTCCAAGGAAACTGAAATGGCACGAAGGAGTGGTGGAGCGAATCCCAAAATCCTCCTCGTGATCCGTCACAATGCTGCCTATAATCCGTCTGTAATGGCTAAACCAGCGGCGGGTACGGCTCCTACTGGCTGTGGCCACTTCCTTCATCATTCTTCCCTTCGACCTTCATCTCAAGATGCGGTAGGCAATCAAATATTTATGCTGTATATGTGCCTTGCGGCGATCTAACATGTTTGCTGTCTTTTCCCTTTCAGCCCTGTGCAGCCAGGAATTCGTCTTTTCGATTCTCTAAGCAAGCTGAATATGACTACTTTGATGTTAATCTTGATAGGGTATGTTGAAATTCGGGTTTTTATTTAACCGTATTTGTTCGATAGAACGTTCAAGGTGGACTTGGTCTCTTCCTTGTGAATATGAATCCTCGAGGGGATATGGGTGTCTTTGTTCAAAACGTGCTCCCAACTAGTCCAGCTGGGATGGTAATTTGATCCCCATTTAGTGCACCAGTTTTTCTTGTTGTTTTATTGCTTATTTTAATAAATTCTTCGACTTCTTGCTAAGTAGAATAGGAAAAGTAAAGCCAGGTTATCAAATATGAAGAAAGGATACAAAAGTATTGTAAGCCTTTATTAAATGGGAAATACATCCTCTAACCGATTTAGTTAGACCACCGTAACTTAACGGTAGATCCCTGCTTCCTATAATGTTCAATATACGACTTTCTCTTATTCTCTCTTCTTTTAAATAGTCTGGTCAAGTCCGCAGTTGGGACCGAATTGTGGCAATTGACGGTGAACCTGTCGTAGATTATGATAAAGCGCTAACAAAGCTCTCAGCCCGTCATTCTATGGTTAATCTTCGATTTGCTCGAGCAAAACCACCGAGTCAAAAACAGGGTTCAGAACTTCCCCTAGGTATGAATTTACCTCGTTCTTTCTCACCGCATGTCCATCCAACACCTATTCTACTTGGTGTGGAAACCACAGTTGAAATCATTCGTTCAGCTGAAGATCTCGGTTTTTCTATTGTTGGAGGATCTGATTCTCAAATGGTTGGTCATCTACTTCTCCTCTTTTAACCTAAGCTTATATCGAAGTGTGCTTATAATAAT